AGTTTGGTTTAATAGTTGTTGAGATATTTTAATTCAAAGTCTAAAAAAAATTTACTTAGAAACAATTTGCTTGGTTTTTATTGACACCCCCCATATATTAAAACTGGTAAGAGATTATATTCATTACAATTAAATTCCTAGATCAGACACTATCTCTGCTGTTTATTTAGGGTTTATGTTATATAAACTATGTTGAAGTTTAAATAAACCCTAATAGTTCTGGTTTGAATAATCTTACAATGGCTAACCAATAAAATTATATGATTATATCACGTGACTACCAAGGCTGTTATAAATAAGAGTGTAATATGCTGTTACAAATAGATTTGTCCTATTTTAAAAATTAGATATTTATTTAAGAACAAATCTATTTATAACAGCATATTACACTCTTATTTATAACAACCTCAGTAGTCATATGATATAATCATATGATTTTATTGGTTAGCCATTGTAAGGTTATTCAAACCAGAACTATTAGGATTTATTTAAACTCTGATATAGTTTATATAACATAAATGACCCCAAATGAACAGCAGAGACAGTGCCCAATCTAGGAATTCAATTGTGATAAATATAATCTCTCACTAGTTTTAATATATATATAATATTAACAGTATCTGCTGTTCCCCAAACGATATGCATGTTAATGTTATAATAGTTTACCGAGTTTATTTTAATCAATACAAAAATACAGTATAACAGTATGATATAATTTATCATAATTAACTAGGTATAAATATAAGATGCGATCAGGATAATAAACAGTTTTCTTTTGCTTTAACCATTTTATCTTATATATTATTACATGTTCTAAAATCAACCTGAAATAAATTTCTCAATGTGGTTAGACCCTAAAACTGATCTATATAACTTAATTTTTCATTGTTTGAACCAACTTCAAATATTTTGTCTGAAGTAAAAATTGTATGTTGTTTGAACTATATATTAGTTATTATTATTTAAGCATCTCACAACAAAATTAAAATAAATTAGAAAAGTCAAAAGTGTAAAGAGAAGTGTTAACAAACAGACATACCTTTGATTTATAGAAAATGGTGATTGATTTGCTAGATAGATACAGAGCTTGAGATATATTAAAGTTCAAAAACTACTTCCTATAATAAATTTGCCTTCTTTATTAGTATACTAAGGTTTTTTTTTTTTTAATAAAGACTTACCTGATATATTTGTTGGACAAAGTATTGAGAATGCTCAAAGTAACTTTGATTATAGGGATACTGCAGACCCAACACCAGATATTACATATGAAGTTGAGGATAGTTATAAAAGTCATGAATCTATCAACCAAGTATCCCAAAAATCTACATGTAAGTGTAAAATTGTGAATGTCAGATTATAAAGTTAGATTTTTTATATTTTGTTTAACTTCTATCTAGATACAAACTTAAATAATGAAGTTGTAAGTTTCTGCATCAGTTATTCATTTACCTCATGGGAAAATGTGAATACAATTATAAAGATATATGAAAAACAACAGAGATTTAGAATTATTAAAAAAAGATTAGAATGGTATAAGGATGGTAGTATTAAACTTCATATCTTCGGGTATAAATTTGGTGGTTGTTATTAGCCAAAAAAACAAGTCAACATTGATAAGCATCAGGGCCATAAATCAAAGTGTCAAGAATGTAAATAGTATATTAATATAAACTGTTCTAAAGATAATTCACATATAACTATTACGATGCTTAAAAATATATATAACTATTTATTATACTTTAATACTACAACTTATAATCAGATATATCAAAATATTTCTAATAATTAAGGTTGGGGGCATGAGGCATGACTTTTGGACATGCCCCTGGGCATGCCTGGAGACATGCCCTTAAGCTAAAAAGCATGCCTCTATCATGTAATAATCAATATTAAATCATGTGGTAATATAATATTCTGATTGGCTATTAACAAATATTGAGATAAATAAACCAATAGTGCATAAATATTAGATTACATTAATATATAAATCTGAATTACTAATTAATAAACCTAGTTTTTAATTTACACTATTACAATTCTATTCAGGGTACCAAATCTGTGATATGATATGTTCTGATATTTTTTTGGTGATCTTTTTATTAAACAGAATTTAGAATCTATAGCCAGAGGTAGTAACGATAGTAGCAATTAGTCATGATATAAGAATGTATTAAAATTTTGACCAAACAGAAAATTTTTGATTATCAAAAAATTGTACCAGAATATTTTTTTAATTTACCAGATCTCTAGTATTTTACAGTAGAATTTTGTGCTCTGATTCTATTCGATATATTTATTACTTTACCAGTTTTTTATAAGCTTCTAAACAGACCCTTTTTATATCTCTGCTAGTATTAGTTACCCCTACTCAATTTTGTTGTATCATTGTGGTTGTGTATGTACCAGTTTTTTGCTATTTATTGCTTGCAGTGTTTTGATCTTTCTGGTTTTTTTATATACCTATTTATTCTTTGATATGAGATCATCAAAGATAATTTCCTTATAATTGAATAAAAGGAATGATCTACACCTGTCATTTATAGTAATATATGGTATTAGATATTATTGTTAGATCATTCTGGTATAGTTTGTTTGTTCTAGTACTAGTACTAAGTACTAGATACAAACCTTTGCTTGCTATATATGCTGGATGTGGTAAATCTGATTTTGTAAATTTGTATTTTATTTGTTTTTTTTGTATTTTAAATAAGATTTGTTTGTTGAATATTTTGATTTTTTGTTTTTTTTGTGTTGTGTTTTTTGCTAGATAGATTATTTGATAATCATTAATCGTTAAAGACCAAAAAGAAAGTTTGTAACAAAAGGATTTGATTTTTTTTTTTAGCAAAAAACTGTGTTCGATACTTGTGAGTATAGTACATAGCTGGTGAAGTACGTTTATAACTAGTATTAAACTTATCGACATAACATAGCTGGTGTTAACCTTATAATATGTTATTGCACATTTTATTATTTAATATAAATACTATTGCCATCAAACTAATTATACTTTAATTTATTAATAAAACAAATATTCAATA